AAAGGCAAGAAGACAGAAAATTTAGAAACTTGACTGTTCAACAGACAGGTAGAAAACAGGGTACAATGTGGTGAGATCTAAAAATTTTATTAAAAATTGCAAGAAGAAAATACGGGTTTAGTAATCCATTTACTTTAAAAGTTTCAGTTATAGTGCTTTGTTTAGATACCAACCAGAATGTATATGAAGATTACCAGCAATCAGGAATCAAAAGCATGTTGACTTACAATAATAGCTGGTATCTGTTTACAAATAAGGAGGAATATAAGTTGGGATAACCACTTCTTTAGAAGTTTGCAAATACTATTTATATGCTATTATCTAAAATGCACCTAAAACAAAAAGTATAGACAATTCAAATCAACTTACCTCAGGATGGAAGAAAATCTCTGGCCCCAGGAATCTCTCATAGCCAACATCAATGGTAAATTCTTTCTTTGAGATAGCATTAATTCCAGTATACTGTTTAATCCACTTGGTACCATCTGTGTCATACTTGTTAAATTCTTTTACTAAGTCAGGGCAAACATAACTAAAGCGTTCCTGAAAATTGAATACGTACAGTTAGAAGTATCATCTTAAGTATGGCAGAGAAGATAGTAGGAACTTTTAAAAACGTGTAGTAATTTAAACCTTTAGAATAAGTGTTTTAAATTGGCAGATACAGAATAGGTCTCAAAAAATGGCTGAACTGACATTTACTGTATACAGTTAGATAATGGCTCAGCTACCACAAATCATTTCTGTGCAGCACTGAAAGCAGCACATCTTGCTGAGCTAAATTACTTTTCATCTGGTTTTCCTCTAAACTTCTACGATGGTGAGAAATGAGTTCTAAAGTATATTGAAGAATTGCCATAGAAACAGGTTTAAGTGTACTTTAAGCTGAATGTCTTTCAGAATAGCTTTGCACTACAAAAAAAGAACACATCAACATTCAGAAAGAATAAAAGAGTGATTAGAGCTCTTTACATTACACATCCCACCAAGAACATTTCCTACTGAATATTACAATAATAATAATAATGGAGGGGAGGAGAAAGGGGAGACTACAAGTGAAGAGTGAAACTCTATGCCAAATTGAGTATATCCCAACAGCACACCTTAAACTTAAGGTATTTCATGTTATTATATTATTTAGAGATTTTTATATTACTTAGAAACAGAGCACCATTACTTGGAAGGACAATGATTTTAAAAGAGTACTGTATTTGAAAAATAGGTATCAAGCTCTAATCTAAAATAACCTTAACATCTGCAATGTTCACGTTACCTTCACTGCTTTAGCTGTTTCCAAGGACTGCTCAGGAGGAATTCCTACTTCTCGCTCCCTCAGCAACTGCTGAATGAAGTATGTTATATCTCGCCCAGCAATTGGAATGTGTTTGATACAGCTGCCAATCACATATCCTTCAGCCTGTAAAGAAAATTAATTAGGAGAAAGCCATTGACAAGAACTCCTTTCAACAAAGCTTAGGAGGGAGGGAGAAAGAGATGGAGTCTAAACTCCTTTTCACTACCTGTGACTGTGAGATTGAAGCCCTTTAAGACTGGATCATTTAATTACCAGAAATCCAATTCTTCAGTAGACTTATTTTACTTGTTAAAGTGTTTCGCTTTGCATTGGCTCATAATTCTTACAAGGTTAGGAGGAACAGAAAGGTCACTAGTACATAAGGCAGACAAATAGCTATACTCACTATTCCTTGGCCTTTATTTTCTCTTCAAATGAGGTTACTCTTACCAAAAAGGTCAAGGAACCTTGTATCGTGAAATATTATTTTAGAATAAATGATGTGGCTCTACAGTCACAGCCACTGATGTAAGACGTTACAATCCACATGAACCAAAATTAATTTTCTGAAAGCAGGGAGAAAATGCATCATTTCAGCACATTAACTAAGACGGCTTAGAACATCAGACTGGCCCATACTCATCCATCAGTCTACCCTTGTAAGTCACACTTGTCCTGGGGGCCAGTATCAGGGCATTAAAAATATCTGATCTAAACGCAGAAATCAAAAGCATTCAGGACTGGCTTTCAACCTCATCAGACCTGCTACATTCAAACAGATGAATCCAGGTGTCACACTAATATTAGATACTTAAAACTTCCTACATACACCCTACATTCACACAAAATGTTCTTTCTAATGTAGAAAACAATGAAGTTATAAAAATCGTACCACTGTTGTTAGCTTCACCACAGATAAGCGTTTGTTAATTCCTCTTTATGTATTTTATCATAAAGTGGTATACTATTGCTTTCAATTTGTTCAACATGTTTAAAAATTCTAGAAATCAAGTGAATGTCTCTACAAAGGAACTTAATGCTTCAAGTGATATAGAATACCTACTCTTATTTCAATTAAAAAAACCCAACCCACAAATCAGGAAAAGTTCAACTGTTTTAAACAGCAATTTGAACTACTAAGTACAACTTAAAAAAAAATACTTAGAAAAGGTTCAAAATGTTGTTGTTTCCTACATCTTATTAAAAATACGCTATCTTGGATAACAGTCTGAACAAAGATTTAGCCAGTACGTTCCACCAAGATTAATAATAAATTGCTACATCACAGCACAGGTTTGATCACCACCAATGCTACTATTTGGTCTAAAAACTTTTAAAAATTGAGGTTACTGTGAATGATAAAGCCTTGTATAGATTTTGATCTTAAAAATTGCAGTCTAACTTCATTTTGAAAAGAAAAATGCATCTGGTGCCTAGGCACATGTTTAACTTTCCAAGGAAAGATGGGCAGAGACACATATTACCAGCCACTTGAAATAAAGAACATTTTTAAATGTTATAAAATTTCAAATATACCTTTGTAAAAGGAAATACATAGCTACAGCAAAAAACCAACTTGACAGTTAAGAAACTGCAGCTGTAAACGTTAATTATTTAATAAAACATATGCTCATACTAATTTTTGCTTTTAATAACTTGATATATTGGAACAGATACTCAACATTAATTAACCTTAGGGTTTGGGGTTTTTTTCCAGTCACATAGGAACTTTTTTTCTTTTTGCTTTTATCACGGATACATAACATACTACTAAATATTGGTCAACAGATGGTAAAAAATTGTAAACAATACTACATCTGCACTCAAATATTTTGTATTCTTTCTATTTTATATATGAATTGACTGAATTAAACAAAATAGTTTCCAAACTATTTGGACTGACTCTTGTAAAGAGCATATTCACTCTTACCAGCAAAAGAAACTGGAAATATGATAAAGCAATACAATTTCATTAATCACTTAGCATGGCATTGGCAAATCACCTTTTAAGATAAGTCATTGGAAGACAATATGCCCTGACAAACTCGGAGCACAGAGTTCTTCTTCGAGAGTTTTTGCACTACAACAAAAACCCATACCCACAACCCTGGAAATTACCTGACATTTTTGCAGATTCCTAGCTATACCTCAGTCTTTGTAAGCGTAAACTTCAGAGACATTACAGGAAAAACTGTTCTCCAGTTAAACTTTTTTCTATAGTTTTGATGTATACTTACAACAGGAATAACATGAGTGACACCATCACCACTGTCTATAACTGTGCCAGTCAGTGTTCGTTCTCCTACTTGTCGTGACGTCCAAGATGCAGCTAAGGCAAGGACAGCCTTGTAAAAGAACACACACAAAAACCAAATCTTCATAAAAGCACACAACAGCTTACAAAAAAAGAGACTGCATAAATGTATGGTTTGACTCCCACTGCTTTTTTTAGCCATGTTCAAACACACATCTTTTTTGCTACTTCATATTCAGAGGGAATCAATTCTTGGCATATCATTATTATGATGTGGTGTGGTTTTGGTTTTTTGGGTTTTATTTTTATTAATCATACAACAGATATTGTACTCTACTGCTTAGAGGCCACCTTCTATATAGGTAACAGAGAAGGGTACCTAGCTAACAGACCACGCATATTGAACATCTAGTGGTGAAACTGCTAACCAAAATTGCATAAAAAGTATTCCAAACACCACTCATACCGTTTTCGTCATGAATTAGTTTTAACTCAAGGAGAAATAACTTTGAACAGCACTGCCCTTACCTGAACAGCAATATATAGCCCTGGAACATTGAAAGACTCGAACATGATTTCAGCAGTATATTCTCTATTTTCTGGAGTATTTAATGGAGGCTCAGTCTATGAGACAAAAAACCCCAAAGTTTTACTGACATTAAAATCAAACACTTGACTTAGCAGGGGGGGAGGAAATCACCAAATCCTAAATTTTGAAAGATGAGTCATTCAACAACAGCATGTAAAAATAATAATGTGCAAAGGATGCTTTTAAAGGTAAATTGTGCAATTAAGAAAAACTAGAAACTCCTCTGACAATAACAGAATTCATGCAAACTGCATTGCAAACCCATGATGATTAAAGTGAAAACAGAAAAACAGAAGTGCAACAAAAACATTACAGCAATTACTGCTTAAGAATTTACATCGATGGCCCCCTTTGTGGGTTGGTTAGCTCATGACAACTTCTGATTTCACTGAAAGAATCAACGACTATCAACCTAAAAATGTCAAAGGATGCAGTTTAGCACATTTAAAGAATGACAATTATTTAGAAGTTTCTCAGTGATTCATTAAAGATAAAAGCTGGTTTCCTTCAGACAGCAATCACTACAAAACAAGTTGATATGATCAGCTGTAGAAACATACTCAACCGAGAGAAGCTAGCAATAAAGCTGTAATTTTCATTAAAACACAAAGCGTACTTAATATTAAGTGTCTCCTCTGAAAAAGCATTTTCTACAGTGCTACAGAATATTTGAGAAAAAAAAATAGCACTTTTCCATTGCATCAACTATGTAACACGACGGTAAAGAGAGGAGGGAGCCAGCCTCTTCAAAGGTGATAAGGACAAGAGGCCATGGCAACAAGCTGCAACATGGGAAATCTTAAGTGGGTATTAGGAGGAAAAAAGATAACATGAGGGGGGTCAAATAGTGGGAAAGGGGCCCAGAGTTGTTATGGCACCTTGATCCTTGGAGATATGCAAAGCTTGGCTGGACACAGCCTTGAGCAACTGCATCTAATCAGACCTGCTTCAAGGAGATGGTTGCATTAGATGCTCTTTAACAAGTTTGGCCAACTTGTAATTTCAAACTTGCTCTTTAAACATCAGACTAAAACAAATTGCCTATTTCAATGGCCTTAAATAAAATACTAAGGAATAGCAGATACTTCAGAGCAACATTGACCTTAATTCAGATCCAATTTGCCCAAATACGACAATCAATCCTTCTGATTTCACACATTAAAAAAAAAAAAAAAAAAAAATTTCACTGTCTAGACACACCATCCAGGTGGCAGCATTGTCAAAACAAAATAATTGTAATTATGTCAAGTCAAAACAGACAGTACTTTTTTGCCTCATAAAAGTAAACATGGTTATTGAATTCAGTGGATAAGTAGTAGAAAAAAAAAAGGACAGAGCAGACAATTTGGAGGGAAATGAGAAGAGAACAGAAAAAAGTTCGCAGTTCAGACACTCTGACATCTTAAGAAAATTAAAGAACCTGGATGGGATAAGCCAGGTCGGGAAAATTTCAAGTAATTTATATTTACTTTAGTTTTCAAGATAAGCATATTCATATTTAAGAATTATGACGTAAATCAGCACAAACATTCCTACTAGTCATATGCAATTTCACAAGTAGGACATAATTTTACCTACCAAAAGAAAATAATGGTCCTCAGGTTCTGCCCTTAGATACTTAAAGATTACTTGCTCCATAAACCTCTCCATCAAGTCCCAGTCTTCAACTATACCATGGCGGATGGGCCACTGTTGCAGAAGAATATCAAAATGTAATTGGAAACAAAAGAAAGAAAACAAACACACATTGTTTTCAACTGCAGTAAAAGCATGCGATCTACACAGGCAAGAAACCTTGCATTAGGTTTTCCCTGACACCTATTTGAAATTCAGATTCCAACCTTGAATAGCAGCGACAATACATTGCGCTTTTCTCAGTATAACAGAATGGTGGCACTAGGAGAAACCAAAGGTTCCCCTAGCCCAGCATCCTGACTCTGCTGTTCCTGCTTCAAGATGCCAAGGAACATGAAAGAACATGAAGAACATTTCTGTTTAACACTCTCCCAGCCTCCCTTGATTTCAAAAGAAATATATATTCACATGCTTTTTTTGCAAATTCCCACAGGCTCCTGAAGGTCAACAAAACCAATACTAAACCTTATTTTCCATTAAAACAAAATTAACAAGAAAATAAGATTAACCAAAAAGCATTCATAAGAAGCTGTTTACTATATAGCTGATGCTTTCTAAAGAGTATCAGAAAATTATTTTAAATGTTTCTCTTAGTACCTTGGTTGCATAAGTTGGTTTTTCTATTGCTTCATCCCCAATAAAGAAGTCTAAATCGTCAACACCTTTCAAAACCCTCCTTTGTGCTTGATCGACCACTTTTGCGGATTCTTTGATTGCAATACCTTTAACAGAGAACACAAACAGTTTTGTAGATCATATACCCTGCACAAAAACAAAAAAAAAAACCCCACCAAAAAAACCCCACACCCCAGTATTCAAGAAAAGGAGCGCACTGTAATTGTATTCATCCTTTGTTTCAGGTATAAGCACAGAAAACTAAATAAAACACAGAAAAATTGAATTCTAATCATAGGTAAACATAATTAGGATTTATGAAGTAACACAATACAGATCTAAATACAGATTTGTTAGACACTCAACACGCAATCAGAGAAATAAAATACGAAAATAATCACTAAGGGTATCCCCAGAGATATCATTTTAATGTGCTAATTTTCTGCACATTCCTCTAATAATTATAAAAAAAAGGAAAGCGGTTATAGAAGTTGTATGAAGAGCAAAAAAGAAAACATGTTGCCATTATATAAATGGATGCTTTACTTCATTTGCATCCATTTGATTTCTGGACATACTAAGAAAATTAGATATGGTACACAAAAGGGACTGAACAGCAACTAAATAAGCCAAACATATGTACAAAAGAAGGCAGGAAAAAAGAATTAGGAGCAAACATATGGCATACAGAAAAAGTAAACTGGACGGAAATAAAAGGAGTATTTTTAAAAGAACAGAAATTTGTATGTCCACGTGATGCACCTTTAGATGCTTTAAAACAGATTTTCACAAAGTCTATGTTTAATTTCTTTCTTTAAATCTTACTCCTATCTTATCATTAAGAATAGGATGGAGAATTTCATTTAGGAAAGGCTATAAATCTCTCCTTCACTTCAAGGAATAACTGGCAAAAGTTAAGAGTTTGTATCTTGGCAATTTATTCCTTCCAGGATAATTACTCATCATAAATAAAGAAAAAGACTTTTATCAGAAGAATACTGGCTAAGACTAAACACAGGATCCTGGAAAGATGGATCAGTGATTAGATATCACAGGAACACAGATACTCCCTTCCCTCATCTTTTGCATCAGCCCCCTGGCTACCAGGGTTGCAGCGCCAGCAATACCTGCTGTATTTTCACATCTTACTAATTGCCTTTAAACACAATCCTTTACACAAATAAGGAAATTCATAGATATAAGAAGCATTAAAATCAGCCTCAAATATTCAAAGGTCGTGATCCAACAGCTTTTTCAAAGGCAGAATTATTTTGCTAATTCTCACCTTCAGTAAGAAGTTCTGTTTGCTCACAACTAAGATTTAAAAAAAAAAAAAAAAAAAAGTTATGAAAACAGCTGCTGCAGGCTCAAGCTCACCAGACACAGGGCGGCACAGCAAGAGGATTTGGGAATCAATAGCACGCTAGGGTAAAGAGCCATTAGCTCACTGATGCTCCCCATCCTTCTCCCTTCTCTTCCCATAAAGAGCAATGAAAGCAGAGCTGTGCAGCCAAAGTTAAATGTTGTGAAAGACTGAACAGGATGAAACAGAAGACGTTATTTTGAGCTCTTCAGGAAGAAAACTGAATCATACTGTAACTTCTGTAGCAGCTTACAGGAGGGCAGAGGGGAAGCAAAAGGCTGAAAGAAGCTGAAAAGCACGGGGGGGAGCAGATCGGAAGTAGAAGCTAAAATCATGGGGAAGGAGATGTCGCAAGGCCAGTGTGTGCTGTAAGTGAAAAGAATCTTGCCAAATATTTTTCAGGTCATCATTACAGAGCTCACACATTTTGGGCAATTTTTTTGTCCAGGTGTGTGCTGTCTTCAAGAAGTTTCAAGTAAAATACCATCACTTGTCATAGGATTATAGAAGTTTTCAAGTCAAAGTGGTTTCACCCTGTTAGAAGCCTAAAACAAGATGGGAGCTCTGAATATTTTGCTGACCTTGAGGCTAGCCTGTTCAGTCCCAGTTTTGAAAGTCAGAAATGAGAAGGAAACAACCTGAATCATATCCTGAAAATACAAACAGGAAAATAAATCTTGCCGAAACCAGAGCTAGGCTACCGCGATGTCTGAAGATGGGCTGCACTCCAAAGGTATCTCAGAGCATTTGCTTTTGGTTTGCTTGGCAAAAGAATCAAGAGCTTTTAGAAAAAAAAGAGGACATACTTGCATCAAATCAATTTTTGTGCTTAACCACTACTCAAGCCATTTTTTTTTTCTTTTAAAGGTAAAGAAAATGCCATCTAACATGTAAGCTATCACAGATAAACTGAAATAGATGACAAATCAAGAGAACTAGTGGGTAATGGAAAGAAGTTGATTCCTATTTTAACATACAGCAGGAAAAGAGAATTAAGTGAATAAAAATCAAGCAAAATTAATGATCTGCTAAGATCTAAAAAGCAGCCGGGGAGAAAGCAGTGAACCCAAGTCTCTTCAAAAAAAAAAACTGGCCCAATACATTCTCATTTACTTCACTTTTCAAGCAAGCATTTGCCATTTCTACAGAAGCATATTCAAAATCAAATCAAGACCAAAAACATAAGAGAGGAGTGGGAGATAAAAATTTATTAAGAGCAGGAGTGAGTAAGATAAAGAGCAAGTGAACAAGGCAGAAGGAATGCTGCTCGAACCTGTTTAACAGCAAGTATTTTTTAAGGGAATCAAATTGATAACATGCAACCACCACTGCTGGAAGTCAAAGGAGAAACCAAACCATTTTTCCTCTGTGGATAATATTAAGGAAACTAGACACTGAAGTGTTTGAGAAGTTCCACATTTTTTTGTAACACTTTACTTTGAAACTAGGTATTGCTATACTCTTTCTGTTTCTCTAATGTGGATTACACCAGTGCTATTTTATTTCCTTTGAGGCAAAGGATTAATGCAAACTTGTGCAGTTACTGTAATTATCTAACTTGGATTACAGTACAAATAAGAGAAATGCCTTTTTCAATACGAGAATTGCAGTCAAGGACCATTTCAGCTGCAGGAGAATCTAGACTAGAGTGTTTGGGGTTGTTTGGTTTTTTTTGTTTTTTTTTTTTAAATACGCCACACCTTATCAAAAAGCTGTCAAAAAATCTCATTTCCCCCCTTTTTCTTTTACTTTAATAGCATCCCTGTTGTATAAATTTCTCTGCTTAATGATTTGACAGATCATTTCATTCCCAGAATTTGTTTATAAAGTGTCATGATATCGCTTCTCCTTTTTTGGAACAAGAAAGTAATTTTAAAATTAAATAATCCAAATCTGAGGATGTAGAAAAAGTATGTAAACTCTACTTATCTGAAATAAAATAACCATTTGCCCATTTTTAAAGACCACTATGAAGCAAATGGGCTTCATTAACTTGATTTTAAAATCTAATGTTAAAACTCACTTTTGTGTGCAAAACAAAACAGTATATTTTGTATGCCACTGAGGTAAACCAAATGAAATTCAATTGGAAAAACAAATGATTGAAGAACTACATATAGAAGTCATTGAAAGGATTCTGTCACTTGTACGAAAACAGGAGAACGCATTAAGTGAATTAACCTTAACTTTCCATTAGAATTGCTTTTTGACGTATGTTTTCTAGAAAAATTAACAGAGCGCCTGAACTATCACGTTCTATTTTACAGCGACTATGCTTAAGTATTCTTAGTTCTAGCTCTTTTCCTGTTGCATTTACAAGGAAAACCGGGTGTACTAATTATTCCTTTTTACCAGGATGTAATATGTGATTACTTTGGCACACGTGAACAATGACAAAATGCCAAGTGGTGTAGGAGGTCAAAAGGTGAAGCATTTCTAAAGGAAGCTGATTGAGTTCCATTCTCCAGAGTAGAGCCATATCACTTCAAGTGGGAGAAACAGTTCAGAAGATAGGGAGCAAATAAACAATTTTACGTGTGGAAAAAAAAAAAAAATTTGTTTTGTAAATAGAACAAGAAAACATTTAAATTAAGTAACACAGCTGTAATACTGAAAAATACCTGGAAGTATAACATTTTAAACCCTAAAGACATTAAAACATCCAATTTTAACATTTTTTTTCTAGCTAAAAATCAACTAAACTTTAACCTGAGAAGTCCCTAATAAGGGACAAAACTTCTAAAAAGTAATTATAGACACACTACTGTATTTTAATATCGTTTCAAATTCCAAGATATTAATTTCAAATATTAGTATACCATTTTAATGAATGTATCTTTCTGAACTGAGCATCCATAGCAAAACAGAACAGAGCCATGCTACCACTCTGTGTCATCACTCAGAGGTCTTTTCAAGGCGCTCACTTTTAACTGGGGTGGGGTTTTTTTTGGTTTTTTGGTTTGTTTGGTTTTTTTTACATAACATGATATAGAAACTCTAAGTGCAACTTCAGCATTCATACACAAGTAACAAATACTTACATGAAGGAATAATGAACTGGGGTTCAGTATTACCGGCATATCCGAGCTTTGTGTACCTATTGAAGGGAAAAAAGGTTGTGTTATTATATTTGATAACACAAATACCAAAGATATCTCCCTTTTTTAATGAACACACCTCTCTTCCCATATCAAAGAGACCCACTGAATTTCCTTTAATAATAAAAAACAAACAAAAACAAAACTAAAAAAACCACTAAAGAACTTATCTTTTTTTAAAAGGTAAAACAATGCTCCCTACCACAAGACAAGTATCATTACTAACTTCTACTCTACTAAAATTTTACTACAGAACATGAAGTATATGATTCAATTTATCAATGCTTAGGAGTATAATTTAGAATCAGAGTAGTTCTTCCCTGCTCAGCCGTTTGCATTTTTATAGAAATATTTTCATATAGTGAGTGTTAGTGATAAAAGTGATTTTGTAACTGCTAACTATAGGGAAAAAATTCCCTTGCCCATGGACTGCCAGCTGGGCCCGTGGCAGGGCTGGCCATCATTACTTCAGAAGCATTTCCCAAGATGTACTGTCATAGGTGGCAAATACTGACAGCTGATAATGACCGTGGTAGCAAACGAATTTCTATTTAACAAATGAAAAACAGTCTTGAAAATGTGTTTAATAAGACTAAGGAAAGCAAGAGGAAGAGAACTACACACCTTCACACACCTGATTTCCAGACTGTGCTATGGATATATACATCATCTGTCATGATGTCAGAAACCTGAAGAAATTGCCAATACATTCATTAAACAAACCTACAAAACTCAGTACCAAAACTACCCAGCTGCTAGAAATGCTGTTACAAGAGTTAACAACAGCATGGGCAAATTCTAAAATGTGCAGACCAAAATACACACTGCATTCAGAAGTTACAGCCTACACACAAGCTTTTAACACACACAGACATGATGAAGTTCTCATGTTCTTTATACAGTCAGGCAGCTGTACTAAGGTAGCACCATCAGCAAAAGCATGAAACACTGTAGTAGCACCTCGACAATTTTCAGCACTCAGATATAAACCCAGAAGATCTTAGGCGGTATAAGGCAGTACTAACTTTAACAATCCATAAATTTATGTCAATAACACAGTAAAGTGCCTGGCAAGAAATACAGTAAGAGGTTGGTTTTTACAGGCTAGAGGAGGAGTGCTGCTGCAGTGGGCTTTGCTGTGATGCTCCTGATGCAGTGGTTCACAATTTGCTCGTGTGTCCGCTAACACGGACACAATTTCTAGTGCTGGGCCAGGAGAAACAGCACCCTTGAAAGGAAAGTATCTTTCTCTCTAAATAGTGAAGTGGTTAGCACAGGACTTCATCTAACACCAAAAATGTTTTGCAAGGAAAGTATTTTTAAAGCTGTAAACCTCATCTTATCTCTAACACGCTGTAACAGTTGGGAGTTGCCATGCAAAAAAAGGACTTCATGTTGATCTACAGTAATATTTACTGAAAAATAAAACTTCACTGGCAAAATAAGATACATAATGGAAAAGAAAAAAGAAGCTAAACACCTGAAAGAAATTTACCCCTCCCGAAGAGATCAGCATTATGCACTGTACGTGCCTGAACTCAGGACACGCAACTCTGATTTTGCAGACTCAGGTTACAAGCAAGCACATTTTATAAAAATTTCTTCTTGAATATCTAGTTCCTAAAAGAAATCAAGAGTTCCACAGCCTGATGCTTCTATAAGCTGTCATGCAGAATAAAACCATTCACTGTATCGATAATGTCTTAAGAGGCTTTTAGTTCCACAAGAAAATTAGTAAGAAAACCAGCAAATATTGACTCACTCCCTCTACCTTCCCCCGCAAATCAGGAACTGTGGAGTGTATACTCTAAAGCTACATCTACAGAGGAACTTTGGAACCTGAAGGCTACATAAACCTAAAACTTTAACAAGCAAAAAAGTTAAAAAACATTTGATTATTAAATTCAGTATTTCAAAGAAAACAAAAGCTGAACTGTTGCAGGTAACAGGCTGCTTGTGGTGTGGGAGGCTGCCCAGCACACACACGCACAGCCAGCAGACTGAAAGAAAAACAGCCAAATGAAAGATGCATTTTACATAAAAAGACTGTATTCAGACATAAAATCAGCATATCTAAAAATACTAAGGCCTACTCAGCAAGAAGTCTCCCGACTCATGCAAAATAAAAAGTCCCATTTTTAGACTTCCAAAAAAGGAAAGAGGAAAAAAAAAATATGAAAAAACCCCACATGGCTTCTGGTCTCTGAATATTAAAGCGTTATAGCCGTGAGTCTCTAATGCAAGGCTTCACGTCCCTGGTGTACCAAGATGACCTTGCCACTTTCTCCCTTCTGCATCAGGGGTGCCACCACTGCTCGCTCGCCCACGGGGCGGGGAAGGGACCCGCTGTTCCCTCCCGCGCCACCCCAGCTCCATGCTTGCAGGCACAGCCAGCCTTTTGCCATACTCCTACGGCGATGGTACTATGGGCTTGTGGACAGTAGCTAGGGCTGCCAGGGACTATGGTAATACACATAATAAACAGTAAGCTTGATTTTCATCACTAAACATATATAGAGGTACTCCTGAGTTAAAATTGAGTTTAAAAATGCAATAGGTGAGACAAAAGGCAAGTTAAAAAATTAATAAAAGTTGATAAAAATCTTTGGTTCTCCAAATGCACAATCTAATAACAGTGTTTCTTTTTTAAAAATTATCTTTTGCAAAGATGATGCTTTATGCAGACCGATCAGATCTATTCTACTTGAAGTAAATATTTAAACCACGTGAAAAAAGGATGCCATGGGCAAGCTGCATTTCACAAGTATACACTTTCCACAAGCAGTTTGTACAGGGCAAAGTGTGGCTGACTAATGTATGATTCACAGGGGAACGAGGCACACCCTGTCTTCTTCAGAGCAGCAATCACAGCCACTACAGAAAAAAAATCCTGATATTAAAGATAACGTAAGGCAGTACCAATACTGGATCACAGCTTGCCTTGCTTGGTACGTAGCACTGAAGAGTGTCCAGAGGGACTTCCATGGAGACAGGCAGGCACATGTCATTTAATGAGACATAAACTCAGCTTTCCCATACTGAATTTGGGGCACTCCGCAGTAAGAGAGCAAGGCACTGTACAAATGAGTATAAAATCATAAGCAGATTTCTACTAAAATCTGTAACACAGATCTGATCTACAAAATCCAAAGGTGAAAACCTGAATCCAACCTTGATCATTCAGATGTTTTCCTTTATTTCTCCACATTCAGCTACTTGAAGTGTTTCTGTAGGCCTATTAGCTCATTTAAGTAGAAAAGGAGAAAAAGCAAAAAAGAACCAAAAAACCAAACATGGCAAAAAATGTTGTTGGATATTCATGACCTTCAGATTTACTTAGCTACAAAGTATCCAAAAGCAGTCCACATAGTCTGGATACATATGTGCATGTAAATATATACAGAACCATATACACACACACCCCCATGCTATCTACCAATATACATATATATGGTGCTGATATTCGCCAGTGACTTCCCCAAAATGTCTCCAAAAAGCAGCAGGGTCTCACACATCATCCTCCGGCCTGTGCAGATGTAATGATGCCACAAACAGAGTATGATTTTTTGAAGGGGACACGCATACCACAAATGGGGTGGGGAGTAGCAACTAATGAAGGCTCCTTCCAAGTTAACTCTACTAATCCACATCTCAACAATCAGTGAAGGAATATCTCTAGAGGCACATCTACCTCAAACTCACACCCTGAAACTGCAAAGTAGCTCTGTACTGATCTGCCCAAGAGATCTCTGGAAGGACAGCCAAAAGGCTCACCACAGTGTTCTCAGCTGTGCTAATGGGATTTCTCATACGTGCTCTCTCACCTAGAATAGATGTTTCTGAAGATACGACATGAAAGCAATGTCACTTGAAGGTTACTTACGTATTAGTCATGCAGACAATTTTAAAGCCAAAAGGAAATAGCACTTAGAGCAAGAACTTTTAATGAGACCGTCATTAACAGAACCTCCGCCTGCAAACCTCAAACCATGACCATGCACCTTGCTCCACTTCTTTCCTGTCCACAACAAACATCATTCTGTATAGTCTCCCAAGTTATGCACCCTAGTTCTAGCACAACTGCCATTTTAATGCAAGGATGGGCAATGCATTTGTTTAGCTGCTCTGAGAAGTACAACAGAAATGGGGTGGCCCAACATGAGCTGTGTCCTTGTCATTTTGCTGACAGCTCCATGCAAAGACACGAGTTACTCAAGCAGAAGCGGAGAAGAGCACTGGAGGGCAAACGTCACCCAATCTTCAACTTCTGTAGAGCAAATCTGGGTTGCAGCCTACCCCTCTACTACTCCTAATGACCTGAACTAAAACCAGTTTCATGCATAGGACATTTTCTTTTTTCCTTAATGCACACACAAACAAGAATAAGATGTTAAGAAGTTAAACCGCATTTATTCTTAAAAGCTAGCTGATGCTGCCTTTTTGTAAGGTGCCACGCTTGCTCAGGCAGCAGGAGATCTGTACTTCATATCCTCTTCCATCCAAATGGGTTTAGAGCCAATCATCCATTTCCCATAAAAGCCTCTTGCCATTTGCTTATAAACTCTCCTGAGGCAAGAGTGCTTCGCATTTCTTTCCTGAAACCATGTAGAAAAGACTCCGAGAAACAAGGGCCAAAGACAGAAAGCGAGATGATTGCCGCGTTACCAGAACACACATCTTAGAAGAGGTACAATTAGAGTTTTGACCCCTACTCCAAAGACTGCTTGATTATTTCATTCCATGTCCATACAGGCATAGATATGGCTACCTTACAGTCAGATTGCATATGGCTTCCTGGAAGAAATTTTGCGTTTTCCAAGTGATACTGTGCCAGTGGGAGTAAAAAATTATCACCACACACAACAGCATACTGGCCACTTAAAAGAAACAGTAACAGATGAGTGGTTTAGAAGAAGCAATCTCTACTAATTTCTGAATGCAATACTAATACCAGAGCCCAGGAGTTTCAGGCCTGGGAATCATTATTTGATTAAACTAT